AATCTATGAATTTTTAAATTTTTAAAATTTAGATTTTCGTTTTAAAAATTTTCACATGAAAATTTGTATTTAAAAAAATTGTTATGTTTTAAATAATTATTTGGAAAACTATACCCATGTTTAATATTTACTAATTTTATATCTTTTAATATATTGTTTTCTAAGTAAAAAGTATAAGCGGTATTTGTAAAATTAATATGATTTTGAAGTAAAAGAGATTTTATATGAATAGGTAAATAATTAACATAAATATCAAATATTAATTTTTCATTATTTTCTGGTGAATACAAACTATCTGGTTCCAAACTAAATTTTGTATTAATTTGACTTAAAACACTTCTCGCCACTTCTCAAATTAAAAAATGTTCTTTTAATGCCAAACTCTTCTTTGAGCTTCATGATTACTTTATCCCAAGTAGGATTTAATAAAGTTTCCACTACTCTTAGTGCCTTCCCTTGCAGCCGATTACCTAAAACAGTTTGTAATGTACCTTGATGTTCAGCGGGTGTTAATTGCAATACGGTTGTAACATCTCTTAAGTAATTACTTAATGTGTAATCGCTACTTCCGTTGAATGCTTGCTTCGCGTAAACTTTCTGCTAATGTTAAGGCCATTTTTGTTATTGCTTTAGCTGCAGTTGTTGTTGCTATTATTTGATTGTGTTTGTTGTAATTTTTTTGTTTCACTTTATTGTTGTAGTTGCTATTATTGATTTTTCTGCGGCTTATTGTTGTTGTAATTATATTCTTGTTGTTGTGAAAATCCTATTATTTGGTATATTAGATCTCCCAACGAAGCGTTGCGTTCTATATTTGATTTTTGTTATTTTATCTCAACGATAAGGTCAAATATTTTTCTTTCCAACGAAGATGTCCTTTGAAAAACTTTTTCCACAAAAATATAATAAATATTTGCTCTACACACGAAATGTTCGATCGCTGAATGTGATAATGAGACTATGCACATCCCACCCTCGTCGCCAGTAAACTAATTTCCAATAAAAGGTTTAAAGGTTTATATGAATATTTTTTATTTTAATGAATTTAACCTTTTGTTCGATATTTTCTTAAGAACTGAACAACTATGACAAAAATTGAAATTCAATTAACAATTATTTCCAAATACTGCTGAATAATATTAACATAAAAAGAAATACAGTAACAAACGGAAACAGTATTATTTATAACTATAATATAACTTACATAAAGATGCTGCTTGAAGCCAAAAATCGTTGATAAACTTTTGTTCCTTAACAAAACTACCGACATATTTTAGCAATTCTGATCTCATTTTCAATAAAAATTGTTATGTTTGAACATTTGGTGGATACGTGGGTCGCAACTCCCGTGATTGCGCCAAAGTTTATTTAAATAGAAAGAAAAATAAGACAGGACCAAGTGTATTAATAATAAGCTTTGCTTCGTTTTATTCAACAATATCGGTGTGATTATATATGTGGTTTCTAAGATTACCTTGTAATAATATGCTCGATGTGGTGGCTGAAATCGTCCGGTATCCTTGGTAGCTCGAAAGAAGTGACAAGTGGTCCGTTTTAGCAAAGTTAAGTCAAAGAACGTAGATAACAAGAAGGGACGAAAGTGCGCAACAGGGGCGTGCCTTCTCTTTTCATCCAATCAAAAAACGCACTAGGGCAAAAGAGAAGGCACGCCCCTGTTGCGCACTTTCGCTACAATTATAACGAGTTGCCCTTCTTGTTATCTACGTTCTTTGGTTAAGTTTACCTGCCGGCAGCCAACTGCTCGGAGGGGAAACTTAACGAAATTATATTTCAACGGGAAATAGTACATGTATTTGCTAACGGCGTAGCAATGAAGGTAGGTCGTATATATATATGCCTAAGTATGTTTGTCGCTCGGCTTAAGTCAATGCAATTTTATATTAGGGAGGTTCGACATTTTAATTATTTGGTTTTGTCTGGAGGCCTAAACATGCCGGCCCCCTTGCTATCAGCAACATCGGTCGAGCGCTTCAGCCACAACGCCTAACTAAGTATATACATGTAAATTAACGATTAATTTGAAATATATATATATATATTTTTTTTTATATAAGTCCCAGTGGAATGAAGCCTCCACATTACTTGGTCTACGCCTTAGTTTCCTAGCTAATGGGGAGAAAAATGGAAAAACACTTGTAAATAAAAGGTGTGGTTATCATTTTACGGGCATTCTTATTTGCGTTAAAAATTCATTCAATATTCCTTGATCAAAAGGGTAACATTGATAGTAATAACTGCCGTAGATACGACTTCCGTTCGACAAATTGAGGTTATTGGCCTTAACGTTTCTTTTCGCAAATAAGCTGACCAGTGGCGAAAGGCGGTGGGCAGCTGGCGAGGCCCCGTCTCCAGTCTACTTTGATCTTGATTGTGCCTGTTTGACCTCTCTCATCTATGCCGCAGGCGGAAAGGCTTGTTTTCCGCTCTACGGTGCTGCCGGTGCGATGACCGCGCTCAGAAAGGCCGTGTTTCCGATCCACGTTCCGGTGACGTTCGTGTACTAACAGGAGTCGGAAAGGCCGAATTTCCAATCCCCTGCTTATAATCGGGCGATATATTTTTTTTTTTTTTGGCTTTTTGGTATACATTTGTATGGATAAGTATATGAATATACTTATAATAAGTATATCATAGTTGGGTGGCGAGTAGAGATTAACTGTATGTAGCTATTATACATTTTATAATTTAAAAGCTTAAAAATTATCATTAGATGTATTAAGTAATGTGTGGTAATGTATGTGTGCATTATGTTGGAAGAGCATATATAAAGTGTGTGGGGCACCTTAATTTTCACAAACCGATGTATTGTAATCGATGTCGATTCCTTTCTCTCCCAACCATTTGCTGTCATATTGCTTGAAAGTCCCATGTACAATATGCAAATATCGTATACGATATTGCAAACATGCTTTGTGGAATGATTTGTTCGACAACAACTTGGCCTGCCGCCCGAGAATAAGATAAATATATGCGCTATGGTTACCTATGTAAAATTGTGCTAAGAACTACGAGCATTGCCTGTATTCTTCCTTTTTTTTGTTTTCCATCTGAATTTCATGATTTTATTTGCACGTACTAACCGTGTGGCTATCGAACAGTAGATGGTGCCGTAACAAAGCATTCTATGGGCCCTGTCACACGGTCAGTATTTATTGACGTGATCCAAGTATCGCGATATTTATTGACGGTGTAGCATGCAGTATTGATGGATCGTGATCCATATCGCAAACTTTTTAACAATTTTGAAATCAGGATCGCGGATCGCAATACAGTCAATAAATATTGAACGTGTAGCACTTTCAAAACGCGATGCACACATTTCGTCAGTACATCTTGTACTCTCATAATGCGAACATCGAAAACGTATTCGCTATGCCTTCGCTATCGGTGCTTTAAACCTTTCAAAACAAATTGAAAAAATTTTAATTAACATTGACAATTTTAAAATAATTGTAGAATGCATTATCTGTAAATTATTTATACAAAATAAAAATATTTTCTTGCGTCATAATAAGCGTTCAGCACAAAAATTATGCAAATACTGACGCGATAAATATTGAAATGTAGCATTCGTGCGCGATCCATCAATCCATCAATATGGATCGCGATCCAAATATCGTGATAATTACTGACCGTGTCACAGAGCCCTATGTACCTGCTCGTTTTGGCGGTGGGGGAAGAGTTGAAAGGTAGATGGCGCTAATATTGACAGCTGTCTGTACAAAGTGATGGGAAATCACGTTTCATACTTATTTTGCGAACTGTCCTGGCTAGCAACATTTTGTCGCCTTCAAAACCGTATTCACATTTTGTGCACTGTTGTAACCAGTAAAAAAGTAACAAAATATGCGCCAGGAAATATGCAACAACAGAAATTCAGCAAAATTTCGTAGCTGAATAAGTTAAAGATTTTACCATTTTCTGTTGTAAAGTATTCCGTCGCATGTAGAATAGGCCGGTAAAAGGATGCTTAAACTCTTGAAAAATAATAAAATTAAAAATTATGATCCTATAAACATTGTATCCAGTTCCTAAAAAACGCGAGAAGTTCCTGTAAAAGGGCACCCAAGACATTAAAAAGATATATTATTATATTAAAATTTCCAAGTCAGTATGCACCTCTCTAGAAAAGAAATGGTCATATACATATTTAAGTTCTCATAAAATGAATAAAAAAAAGAGCATTTGTATTGTTTTCTGTAAATTATATAGTGCAGACCTCACATAAGATTTAAAATTGAAAAGGTAAATGGTACCTTTTTTTCTATCACTGGCTATTTGCAGCATACTTTACAACTTTCCTGAATCACAAATGTCATTCTAGAAAGCCATGAGGGCGAAAACGGTAAGTATTGTAGGTTATTCTCATGATTCAATAATACAAGGTTCGATTAACTGACAGTTGTCTCTCTCGCACCGCTCCCTTAGCAGTGGCACCGTGTTGCTTCTTTGCAAATTTACAGGGAAACAGTGTAGCTTTGGTGTGAAATAGAAGTATAAGCTTTTGTGCAATATGTTTATTTGTATATGCATATGAAGCATATTTAACTGATGAAAACATAAACTGTTTTTAAATTGGATGTTTACATCAATCTCATAGTAGTCTTATCTTAATTTTGAGTCATTTTGCAGTTTTTATACAACTAAATAGCACATAAATTATGTAAATCACGTAGATATATCAATATTACGTTCAACATTTCGTTTAAAATGCCAGATTTCCTGCAAATACCTTAGAATTTACAAAAGGAATTTGACTACTAATTGCCTACTTTGCGTACTTTCCTACTATCATTTTCGCACCAAGATATTTCATTCTTCCCCTTTCTCCGTCCTTCGTAAATGCAACCTTTTGTAAGGGAGTGTCAAACCGCAGCTGTCAATAATTATCTAACCTTGTATTATTGAATCATGGGTTATTCTATAGAAAATTTTAATTAATAGTTTTTAGTTAATTTTCATTTCAATTTTCTTTCCAGAATTTGTCTTAAATACCGGATCATTTGGTGGGCCCCCTATGGACTGTTCGCACAATGTGGGGTTGGATGATAACCGACTGAACCCTTTATTGCATCCATCGATGCAATGACACTTTCGGCCTATTCCCAGGTGCCTCAATCAATAACTTCTTCGACTGCGGGCAGTGCAGCTGACTTAGTTTTGTGCAACGGTGGCGCATATAAGTATTTGGACGCAACTGCCATGGTTCCGACATGAAGATGGCACTACTATGGAACGGGGGCTATGATTGCGTGGTAATTCCAGCTACCTATGGATGGTGAAGGTGGTGGCACATAGCTAGCACACCATTCGTTTGTGTAGAATAAGTCAAACTGGAATGCGGTGGCGTGCAATGTGTCCATAGCAACATGTTGGTTGAATTGCGGGAATGACATGGCCGCAGAATTATAGGATCAATGCCATATTCCTCAGGTACATTATTTAAAGGGGATAGACGCCCCGGAACGTAAACGAAAGGTGTGTTTCAGTGGTGATGAGGCTTATAAGACGTTGTTAGCAAGCCAACCCTTAGTGGAGCGTAATTGGAAGCAACATGCCAAAAAGGCATATGCTATATGTAAACGCGATTATAACTTAAAGTACCAGTTGTGTTTAGTTAAAACAAGTGAATAAATTGACCACGATGTGAATCGTAGGTAGGTGGTTACCTATACTATGTTGTATGTATTTACCATAACTGCAATTATTATTAGTGCCTATACTTTTTTAACCGACTTCCAAAAAAGGAGGAGGTTATCAGTTCGTCGGAATAATTTTTTTATTTATACCCGAGCGCACTTGTGCGCAAGGGTATATTAATTTTGTTCACATAGCGGTTGTTTGCAACAGCCAAAACGAATCGAGATAGATATAGACAAATGTATACATAAATGCTCAGAATGAATAGAGAAATCGATTAAGCCATGTCTGTCTGTCCGTCCGTCTGTCCGTCTGTCCGTGTACACGATAACTCGAGCAAAAATTGAGATATCTCAACGAAATTTGGTATGTAGATTTTCGTTAATCCAAGGTAGGTTGGTAAATGGGCGAAATCGGACTGTAACCACGCCCACTTCCCATATAACGGTAATTTCCAGAAATACGAAAACTGCGATATTTTAGTAAGTACTGAAGATAATTCACTCAAAATTGATATTTACAATAATTTTTATACGAAAAATAAGAATATCATAAATTTTTGGAAAATGGGCGTAGCCACGCCCACTTATGGTTACATGTGTATATCTTGGTAACCGCTGCACCAATGTATTCCAAACTTGGCACAGTTGTTGGCCTTGGTACAGAATACTAAATGGCCGAAAATTTAAAAAATCGGAAAATAACCACGCCCACATCCCATATAACGGTAATTTAGAGAAATACAAAATCTTCGATGAATCAGTAAATATTAAAGCTTATTTATTCAAAATTGATGCTTGCAACAACTCTTTACCAAGAAATACGTTTATGGTAAAATTTTGGAAAATGGGCGTGGCACCGGCCATTTATGATCACATATATGTATATCGGTAACTGTTCTACCAATTTGTACCAAACTCGGTGTGGTTATTTTGCTTGCCACATAAAAGAAAAATGTTGAAAATTATTGAAATCGGACTAAAATTACGGCCGCTTTTCATATAACGGTAAATTTCAGAAATGCTTGAAACTGCAATATTTCGAAATTTAAGGACGCTAATTTACTCAAAATTGATACACCCCGGCTTACCATCTAGCGGTAGCTTTCGGAAAGGTGAAAAAACGTATATTTAATACTTGCGCCGGGTATTTAATGTTCGGCTCCGCATAACTTTGGACCACGTGAACCGATTTCGATAATTCTTTTTGTATCGGAAAGGTAGTGTCTCAGAGGTGGATCGTGAGATATATATATATATATATATATTTTTTTTTATATGAGAGTTGAAGTCGGTTTTTTTTTGCTAAAAGTTACTTGTTATTCATACTGATTGCCAATCCTAGAAGCTTAAGGTAATGCTATTGCAGCCTGTTACTAAGTGCTAATGCATGCATACATGCAAATATATGAAGAAAGTTTCAGGTGTTGTTTGTCGTTGGCGAAATTTGGTTTAAAAACCAAAACCTATTGAGCTGTTTGCAACAAGTCACCATTTCTCCCCTTTTTAATGGGCGTAGCCTATCAAAATCAAATATTCTATCAGATAGTGATTTTTCGTAAACATAAGCTTCTCGTTCTTTAATATTTGAAAAGGTGTAAATCCCGATTTTATTTTTCTTTATACATATCGATGGTTACGCCAAAGAACGTAAATAACAAGAAGGAACAACTCGTTATAATTGTAGCGAAAGTGCGCAACAGGGGCGTGCCTTCTCTTTTGCCCTAGTGCGTTTTTTGATTGGATGAAAAAAGAAGGCACGCCCCTGTTGCGCACTTTAGCCACAATTATAACGAGTTGTCCCTTCTTGTTATCTACGTTCTTTGGTTACGCTTTAAGTCACTTTTTCAACCCAGGGTATTCGTAAAATTTGGAGAGATCTGTGAGGTACCAACTAAGGCACCGCCCTTAGCAACACCATTGTCCTTTTTCACGTGGTCACGGTGTTGGAGGCATCGACTAAAAGGTTGCTCTGATTGTTATGCATCCTACAAATGACTCTCCCATCAGCTTATGTGAGTATGTACATACGTATACATATATTGCCGTGGCTTTGGATGGTAGGAGATAAGATAAAAATTAAAATGGTTTATTTATCCCTCCGAAGGTTTTTAATAGCTGTCTTTCGACTACTTTGGTATATGTATATGCATACGGATGTTGATGTGAATTAGAAACGCAACGCAATTGAAACCCATACGGAAGGGAAAGTCGTGACCAAACACATTCGAAATATGAACTAAAGGCAGCGACCTCATTCGACTACGCTGCAAAATGCGGGGTAAGTGCTGCTTATTACTAGTTACAGTATATTTTGCTTTGCTGCCTCTATGCTTAAGTGCACATTTAAGATACCTACCCCAAAATGCGCATCAGCGGCATTTATAAGGAAACTGCTACGATAGATGCATTCAACATACCTGCATTGGCGATACCTGCTTTAAAAATTGTACGACTAGTATCAATTATCAATGAAAGTATTACGTTTACCTGCACTGGCCCTACAATTACCTAATTTTACAACCTTTTATTTATTTTGCTCATCTCGCAGAACAACGAAAATGGCTATCAATTTATGTAGTTATATAGATAATTAGATAACATTCGGTAAAAATTTCGCTTGCAGTAATTTCTACATGGTAAGTGCTCCGCCAATATTTGGTTTCATAGGGATTCGGATACCTTCCTCATTGAAGTAGTAAAGAAAATTCGCTTAAGTGCCTTTTTCGGTTACGTGCACAAGTTTTTCGTGCAAAGAAGGATGTGCAGCTAAGCAAAATATACTGTACTTCATTCCGAATGGTGTTGAGGCCCTTATTATGCTTTTCTGTGATTTTTGTTGATACTTCTGCTGTGGAATACTGTATGTATGTTTCTATGAAGTGGAATCGTTGGTCATTTTCAAGTTGAGGTACTTAAAGGAGAGGATTAGTTTACGAGGAGGTAGTTGGCTCCTCGTCTCATTCACTGAATGGTCTTGTGATCTGATTGTTTTAAGTTGTATTGTTGTCCTATACCATGGCGTTCCATATGAGGAGCGACTGTGAGGTTGGCCTGCTGCGCCACCACTTTCGTTATCTCTGGTTTATGTAGAAAGAGCTGTTCGTTGGACCAGGGGAGACCAGGATGTTTGCATGCCGTTCTCTCTGGTTCATGTAGGAAGAGCTGTTCGTTGGAGTTTTTTCGGATTGGTCGGAAAGTGCATCGGTACTACCATGTGTGCCTCTTCGGTTTGAGGGCTTAATATGAAGGGTAGCTTCAGCCCCTCCCCCGCCAAAAGAATTGGACACTAAGATTGGCCGTGGTTTTGGAGTTTTTATATAAAATTGTTTGCCTCCCTTGCGGGTTTTGGTTTTTGGGTCGCTTTCTGAGGACATAAGTCGGTTCTTTAGAGAGACCGTATTAAACATCGATATTGTCTTAGTGCGTGAGGATATCGGCTCTGTCTGGTCAGTTAGGATCCAGCCGAAGACAGGTTCTTGTGCAAGCAGGGTACCTAAAATATTCTTTCGTATGCCGCTCAAAATTATTTGGGCGTAAATATCGCCGCCTAGGAGGCAACACCAGCACGGTTGTGCTGATGTTTATTAGAGAATCACTTGGTGATCTCAATTGAATGAGGCATGCTTCTTTTACCTGCGCTGCTGTGGTGTTATTGATGCCCAATACCTGGGCATGCATTCTCTTAGATGGCAGGTTAATTCTGCGTTTGAGTCTTTCCGTTATGAACGAGCACTCAGAATCAGAATCTATTAATGCTCGAGCTGAGAAATTTTTGTTGTTATGAAAAATATGAACTCTTGCTGTTCCCACCAAAACGCCTTTGTTAGTATTAGCGAAACACGACTTGACATTATTCACTTAATTCGCTTCTGCGTTTGCAGCATCGCGCATTGCTTGAGCCTGTGCTGAAGTTGACGCTATGTTATCTAATTCCTCTGATGTACACATTTGTTGCCTTTGGCGCATAGTTGCTTTTGGCTGAAAAGCTTGAATATGAAGGAGCGTGTGGTGTCATTGGTGACATGTGCTGCAATTAAATGAGCATGTACACCGCGACACAGTATGTCCAGAGGATAAGCAGTTCAAGCAACCATTATTCGCCTTAATGAAGGCGATTCTGTCGGCCGTCGTTAAAGTGATGAATTTTTGGCATTTTGACAACTTGTGATGATTGCTTCTACAGAGTTTGCATATCGTTTGAGCTACACTTGCTTGGAAGGCACCAAGTCTTTTTTGCAGGGCTTCACTGGTATGCCTACTATTTTGTTGTTTGGGGTTTTTCGTATGTTTAATACTAGTTATGCCCGAGACGGTCTCAAGGGTTTGGAATCTATTAGACAGGAATTTATCCATATCCCCCCAATTGGATATTTCCGTTTTGTAATCGATTGTTTGCTCCCACAGAGCTAGAGTTCCTTCCGGTAATTTTGTTGAACAGAGATAAGTAAATATTGCATCCCAGTTCGATATGTCAATTTTATGGCTCTTTAGTGCTGAGATGCAATTATTTATATCTCGCTGTAATTTCTTAATCGAGATTCCGCACTCGTTCTCTACCGACTTTAAATTAAAAAGAATTTGTAACTGTGAATTTACGAGAATACGTTTGTTCTCGTACCTATCAGTAAAATTTTTCCATGCAGCGGGCATTTTTGGACGATATCTTTGGCCTCCCCCTGTGTTTTTTGGTTGAGGTGGAATAATTTCTCAACCGGGGTAAGGCGCTTATTCAGTATATATATGGCCGTAACCATATCGCGAAATGTTGGCCAAGAGAGGTAGTCGGCTTTGAACACGTCCGTAACGCACGGGGCAGATGTATGTTGTGTTCCTGGACCGACATACCCTCTGTATCTTTTTCACCCTTAACTCACTTGGCCTGGATATCTGACATGTTCGACATGCAGCGCGAATAAACAGAATAGGATTTCTTATACCTAAGCTTAACCGTAAAGACTCCTGTAGCGTCTAACGTGTCAGAATGTACTAATTCCTCGTAAGCTGTTTTTACCTT